TTGTGTTAACCAACGTTTCAGAGGAATGTATCGCCTCCATCTTCATGGTAGAAGAACCAGTGTAAGCAGGTGATGACAGACCAATGTCTGACATTAGTCTCTCAGCACCTGCTCGCTGATTTTCTTTTTCTTCTACCCTGGAGATGGATGCAATATGTTCCTCAAAAACATTGGTTAATACATTATCTGCATGGCGCCACATAACAGAAGACGGCTTTCTGCACTGCGAAAACCTCAAATCTTGCATAAAGCATATTACTGTCTGAGTTCTCGTGGACATTTCTACAGAGGTTACCAGTGACCTCTATGGCTTGAGTGCAGGTTTTTGAGAATCTGTGAACTTATTTTACAGTTTCAGCCTTGTACTTTATGCAGTTTTTATGGATTCTGTCTACTGCACTATGTAGCTATATCTAGCTTATTGGTGGAAGTTGTAGATACTGTTATTTTGATATCGGTTACCTGTGTATGATTCAAGTATTTTATATTTGAAGTAGGCACTCTGTGTGTAATATCTGAACACAGTTATAATTGGAAAGAACATCCACAGAATATACTCTGTGTAGGTGTTGTTATATTTTCATAACCATGATATGTAATTGAATGAAAAAATGCAAATGGTAGCACATTCTTATAATTTGCTTTGGTAAAGTTTCTGAAATGCACTTCATGTACTGTGGCAGATACTGAAGCGATAAAACATATTCGGGTGTTTCGGTGCCACTGTAATTGAATGTATTCTTGTTTCAGCATTATTTACTTGTTCAGCGGCCCAATAAACTACACTTCCCGTGTACTCCGAAAAAATAAAGTTAGGGGATGATACACTTGGGGGCCCATGAAATAGGCTTACCTGTCCCCATGTAACAGCCTGGAAACTTTTAATTTAGTGTATCTCAAGCAAAGTTGCTTTTGTGATTATGGTGGTTAATCTTGATGTACTATTCTGAGATACTTTCCACCTAATAGTGCATGAGGTATCTGGATTCCATAGAGTAGAAAGCATGTAATACGTAATACATATGTGTTCTGATTGTCATTTCTAGTGATATATTTGACCTTTGATGTACTTTAAGGGAATCAGTTTATCAAATCACAGATATTTCCATTCCATATTGCACACAAGATAAAAAGCAGTCCTCATTTTTTGCAAAGGGTGAAGATGGTTGGTTGGTTGGTTGGTTTCCAATGGCTGCATTTGGGATCGTTTAACCCATTTTACTTTTTGCTTCCCAATAGAGAGCTTGGGAAGCATTGCCAGGTTTGTTGCTCATTTTGCACTACCCAGGGGACACGTATGACTTAAAGAATGTCACGGACGAGAGCAACTTTGTCTTTCACTTTCTGAAGATAGCGCCTTAAAAGTTGCACTTGGACAGGAAATCTTGTATGTGCATCAAGAAGACTGAATTTTCTGAAAAAAAATATGACATAGAACTTCTGAGCTTTAGAGTTTAATCTTGCTTGATATATCTTATTTGAGTTTTTTGTTATACCTATTAATTATTTCATTGAATATACTAATATTTTGAACCACTAATAGTAATCTCATGATTTTCTCTAAGGCAGCACATTAACACTGCTAGCATGTCAGAATGAATAGTATGTTTTTTTTCTTGACTTACTACAGATGATGAACTACAGATGTTACAGTAAAGTGACATTTCGTCTTGTATGTTCACAGGATATATGTTGGAGCCAGATCAAGATAAGCGTCCTGATATTTTCCAGGTCTCTTTTGTAGCCTTTTCCCTTCTTGGCAAAGATTGCCCTGTTCAGAATTTGCATGTAAGTTCCCTTATACTTTACTGCAGAATGTACATCATCATTATCGTGAGGATTCTCTATGGTTATTTGAAGTATTTCTGTGTAAAATATGTAAGATATGAAAGAGTGGAACAAACTTTGGGCGAATTTAAATGTAAAAAAATTTTGGGATCCCTTAAATTTATTCGCTAGTGGGGGGTGGAGTCCAACTGGGTCCACTCGGCACGACGGCCACTGATTGGCCTGTTGTACTTGCCCTGGATGATGATGATGGGAGAATTTGGTGGAATGAAGATTGGCAGGGGAAACTGAAGTACTTGGAGAAAACCTGCCCCAGCACCACTTTGTCCACCACAAATCCCACTTAACCAGATCCGGGATTGAAACCAGGCCGCCACGGTGGGAAGCCAGCCACTAACCGCTTGAGCTACGGTGTGCCCTTTTTGATCCCTTACAACAAAAAGAATTGGTAAGGGTAAGGCTGAAGGAAATTTAAGTTGAGTCAAAACAAACGTTGGTTTGTAGATGTGTTTTTTTTTTACAGGAAGAGCATACCTGTATGTGAATGTTGTGTTTGTCCATATTTTTAATGTATAAAACTAAGTAAAGTGTTTGGATTAAATAATTTCTGCTTGTACATGGTGTATTATTGTTAGTGTTTACTAGGTTTGTCAGTGGCAGAATTTATGACTTCATGCAGCGTAGTGTCTTTGTTCTTGATTATGTCAGATACAGACAAACTTATATTTGTAGCAGATGAACATAAAGGCCAGAAGGGAAGGAGAATGACATTGAACTTGCGGGATTTGAGGTTCTCACAGTAGCGAATGTGAAGATCACTGTCATCTGGGTTGTGTACCTATTGGCCGAACTGTGGCATCACATCTCAGATGGCTCTAATCTTTATGTTGAAGTTTTGTGGAAGCTAAGTAGGCAAAACAATAATNACATATACACGGTGCCAAATCCCAGAAGACTGCTTTCTTAATAATATACCTTTCCACTCTTGTTTGTAGCTGGAATAATTTGTAACCTTGGTGGCAGATAACCAAGGTACCATGCTTAGTATTTTCTGAAATAATTTTATGATTCTCTGTATCCACATATGAAAATTGTAACACACTGAGTACTAATGTAATTTACTGCCCAAGTCTTTACATAGAGATCTCCTTCCAAGAAATATGTTCTAAATTGCCTGAAACATCACTGAGAATGTGTCATTGTCAGATAGTGATTCAGATTGTTACAGGATTGGAAAGTAGAATCTACAGTGAAACCATAATAATGACATAGAAAGAGAATTTCAGCATAATGAGAAAATATCAGTATCATCTCTACAGTTAATATCACATGTGTGGAAAAATCTTGTATAAAAGAAGGAATTTTTATGTCATTTTAATCATAGCAAATAATGTGTAGCTAGCTACAACTTTTCTCTGCAACTTTGTGCTGCAGACTATAATTGTGGGTTTGCGTCTGAAGTTATCCATAGCTAGCATTCCATGATGGTTCTGGCAAGCCACACACTGCGCCTCTCCAATGTTTGGCACAGAAAAGACACAGTTTCAATATCTGAGATGTGTGCCTGAATAGATACTTTTTGCCACCCTGACAAGAAGTGCTTAGCACACAGTATTGTTCTAATTCACATTCAGAAAACATTGGCCAGTTGCTGCGAATACAAGAGAATTCTCAACTTGGTGTTATCCTTATTTTTAAAGCATCCGTCAATAATGCAACAATTTTTTTTTTAAATATAAAATACATCTAAAATATGTTTCTCACTAAAAGTGCAACTTTAATACTTTACGATGTTGTTAAAATCATAAAATATAAATGTTGTAAAGTGAGAAGAAACATGTAGAACTAAAGAGATTTTAGTAATTTGATGATCATTTTTAGTGTACAAGTTATACTTTAGTGTCTTAATGACATTTTATGATTTTAAAAACATTGTAAAGTATTAAAGTGGCACTTTTAGTGAGAAACATATTTTAGATGTCTTTTATATTTAAAAAAAATTTGTTGCATTATTGAACAGGTACTTTAATAATAACGATAGTGCCTCAATGCAACGGGATGTTGAATTGTTCTTTGTTGCTATCATGTCCACATTGTTACCACTTGAGACAATGTAGCAAATGTTCAGCTAAGTAACAGTTATAGTGTGTTCACTGAAGTAACAGCGATTGCTGGTACTACTTAAAGTAAAATTTGATGTAATTTTGGTATTAATTAGTGAGGAGGGTTTACAGAGTAAAATTGAAATGATTGCAATGTTTATTCTGTAACTGTTGACCGAAAGTAATTATTTTTTATTTTTTGGGGGGTTCTTACCCTTGCTCCTGGGTTTTGGAGTTAGCACTTAGATCCAAGAATATTTGTCTATACCTGTTACAGCGGGTATTCTTATTTTGACTGCAGAAAACATCTGTGCCTGTAATCGATCAGCTGCCTTGTCCTCAGTTGGAGAGCGAAGCAAAGCGCACGTCAGTGAAAGTAACAAAGCAAACAGCAGCTCCAGTGGTAGAGGGTACGAGTGTTGCTCCACGACAGCGTCCCAAAGGAGGACAACCGCTTCCTGTTGGAGGTGTAATCCCCATTCCCATAGGCTCTTCACCGGTTCCTGCGGCAGGAACTGCGCGGCGACAGACAGCCCCCCTTCCTCTTCCATCCCTTTCTCAGTCACCTCTACCAGTGAACGGTGCACCTACAGCAACAGGTGAAGCTTTGCCGGCACCTGTTAATTCAGCCCCAAGTGGTACATCTTCTGGTTCTGGCTCCCACCATCCTCCCCCACAGCCTGTGTCAAGTTCAGCATCTGCTGTGCATCCACAACCTCCTGCAGTACATCCAGCAACTCCTGTACAAACATTCTTCCCTTCACCTGCATCAGCAACTGTAAACTTTGATGCCATGTTGGCAGGCAGTCCTCCTCCGAGTCATTCCAATGTGGCTGCAGTCTCTGTGCAAGGTCACACAGCGAGCATTACCACTGCACCAGTTAAGAGCTCTGAGGACAGCAGGGAATCGCTTGAAGCCTTGTTCCCAGTTTCAGGTAAGGAGAGAAGCAGTCAGGAGTACAAGAAGATAACAAGATGCAGTACTGGAAGAAGTTAGTACTAGCAGTTATGCTGGATGTCTTTTGAAAGAAAAATAAATCTTAACTGTAGGAATTGTAGATGATGTAAATCGGAAAGCTCCTAAGTGTAAGAATAGAATAGAAGGATCTTAGTGTAAGAGAAAAAAAATGTTAGTTTAAGAACTATAAATTATACAAGAATTGTGGATATATTTATGCAATTTTCAGTATATCATTTCACGTATAAGAATTCAAATTTATAAAAACTCGCTAAACCGTTACCTTATTTCAGTGAAACATGGACCAAAAGGTTGAGGAGGAGGATGATAAGATCCTCAGCCATAATCTTTTCCCTTCTGATGTAGTTAATGAGGCATAGAGGCATGATATATTATGGCCCATTGTTTTCCAGACTCCCTGAGGCTTGCTTTATATGAATAAAAAAACACTGAGGCTTCCCAACCTATAAACATGACTGATATTAATGTGATTTAGTATTTTCAGAAAAGTGTTGTTGAACCATAATATTATTGATGAAATACTTTTCGTTTAATTGTATATTTGTAATGTAATATAGTCTTTTACGATTAAAATAAGTTATTGTTTTATTGACCTATTATAAGTTCCCCAGGAAAATGGTGGGGGGGCGGGGTTACATGCCCCTCACTTTGGGAAGTGCAGGTCTGGCTGATGTGTAGAGTCTGCTTTTCTGCTGTATATAATTAATGTACTCCATTTTCAGCACAATTTTTTCTTGTACTGAGAATAGGTCTTCATTGTTTTTCTCATTGTTTATAAAATGTAGCACAAGAGAGTTAATGGTTTTAATGACTAGAAGAAATTAGAATTAGCATATTGAAAGAATCAGCTCTGGTAGGTAACACATAGTATGGGGTAATATTTCTTTCAGGTTTCCCAGATCCGTTTCAGGATGATGGGGGTGGTGAGAATTGCCACCCATTATCTCAAGGTCCTCCCCCTGTTCTGCCTCTATCTCTGAATCTTCCTGCGGTTACTTCTAAGTCAGGTGCTCACAAGTTGGAGTCTGTCTCCCAGTGCATTACAACTGTGACTCCTCCCACCTCTCCTACTCTGGCCCCACCTCGGGGACATCGTCGAAACATGAGTGATACATCTGCATTCAACAAGTACGCATATGGCTATTCTTTCAAGTAAGATGCATGCCTGAAAAAGTTTTGTTTCCTTTTTTAAGTTATAGTAGTGTAACAATTGTAACAGCTGTTGGGAATTCAACCAGATGTCATTTTGTATATAGACTTTTGTATGATTAACTTCTTTTTTCCTGTCACTATTTACAGAATAGACACAGTACATTGAAACAAAAACTGCTCGCTTTTTGTAGCATACTACATAACTTGCTTTTATACAATCTGTTATTGCCACACATTTATTGGTGCTGTAACCTGAAATTGCATAATGATAGTGACAAATCCCACGCTCACAGAACTTACATTTGTATACGTGGAGTGGCTGTAAAATAACCGACTGATGCTCTAAAATCTGTTACTCAACTAATCACACAGTGTAAATGTTATCACTTTCCTGCTTGTGAGGTTGTTGTGTTTAAATTATTATGAGTTGCAATATTTTTTATATTACCATCAACATTAATCATTAAAAGAACCACATATTCTAGGGGACCCTAATAATTTTGATGTCACTTTGGTAAGGTAATTCCTCTTGTTTTGTGATAAGCCTCTTCTGCTAGAATGTTAACCCCATTTTCAAATAGTACAGCACAGTATTACACGTATGGCTTTTGTGACTCAGTTAATTCATTCTACTGAATGTACCTGTTAGGTGTATTGTGCGTACTTTTACATGAAGAATGCCGTCTTCTGGGATGTGGCACCGTGTGAATCTTGTGTGAACCGACGTCCCTCTGAAACGTCGGTTCACACAAGATCAAAATGGCGCCACATCCCAGAAAATGGCATTCTACATAGTCACTGCTGTGAAAACCTCAGATCGCACATTTTACATTGTTTCTTCCTTTTTTTTTTTTAAGAGTGTTTGCTAATGAGACAAGCCAGTTTCTGGCCCCATATGAAGCCTCAGTGAAGTCTCGTTCTGGCTCAAATTCGCCACCAGACACTGTGATCAATAACAGTTGTAAAGCTGCCAACATTCCAGATAGTCACAGACACCATGGAGTGTCAGCGTCTCATGTGAGTACTGACGTCAAGTAAATTGCATCATGCATACCAACAGTAAAACTTTTTACCATGCTTCATACAGTAGATTAAAGTTAGATTTCCCTTTCTGAGCTTCATGTTCTGAAAGGTAATACATAAATGGCATTGTAGATGTTGTGACCAGATTTAAATATTTTATGCTTCTGTTTGTAAGTGAGCAGCCCTGCTTAAGGAACATACTGTCATGAAATTTACTGTGAAACATAGACAGATGTAATGGTCCTTTGAAGTGTAAGAAAGTTCATGTGAATTATCTTAAGTATTGTTGCTCTTTCATGTCTTAACATTCTGTCTATGTGAAGTTTGTATTTTTGTTGCAGGGTGAACTGTCCAATGCTGGAACAGCTGGTGGCAGGTCACTGTCAGCAGATATTGCTGACTGGAATCCCTTTGAAGACTCGACACCTTTTAGTCAGATGACAGAGGATCATATTTTTGGAGCAGAATTTGATAAGATACGAAGAGGTTCCCAGAGTAGTAAGTGTTTTTGTGTGTTAACTTGCTTGTATGTAAGAGACAGATGTTATGCACCTTGCATATGGTTTCACATAATGAATGATAGACTAATTTCATGATAATATTGGTGCATCAGAATGCATTTGGAAGGAACTGGCTACTGTTGCTCCCAGTGCAAGAGAATGTATTGGAACAGCTGCTGTAGTTCTAAAGTTTTAGATTTTATACTCAAGTTTATATTATTTATATTGTATGTGTACATTTTAACGTTTAGAACATGTACTGTAATAGTGGCTTCTAACTGTATTGATGTAAAGGTGTCCCTCTGAAGACCGAAACATGTAAGGGCATAAATAATTGAAATAAGAAAAATCTTCACCAGTCACACTAGACGGAACTGTTTAACTATTCATGATATTGTTAGTGTGACGGACCAGAATGAAACAAATCAAATTTATATAGATTTCCATCACTTATGCTCCTAAATGATTTTATTGGCAATGATTTCCCAGACTTTATATCGTTGTTCTATGTTTAATGTCCGTGTTTTCAGACTTATTATAATTATTGTAGGTATTTCTAATGTGAAAAGCCGCGAGAGCCTTGTGATGACGTACACAGACATGGCTGAGGATCCGTTTAGTTCCGCTCCCTTTAGTTTACCAGGTAAGTGAGATTTGATGGCTGAAAAAAATGGTGAAGACACGTCTCCTTAATTTCTGCTTCTTGTTTATATCTGTTCTATGCATTTTTAATTTAATTATAAGGTTTAAGAATGTTACTAACATTGTCTGGGGCATGAGGTAGTGTAGTTGGTTGAGGGGCTATGCTACAAGCCGGAAGGTCACGATTTCAAGTCCCGATAAGGTCATTGGATTTTTTCAGTTGATCTAATCCTTCCAGCCACACTAGGCCCTGGGGTTTACTCAGTCTCTAACAGAAATGAGTACCAGGAATTAATTAAATACTTTTACTGGTGAGTAAAGTGCGGCCGGCACAAAAGGCTGACAGCTTTACCGCCATCTATGAGCTGATTGTCTAGATAATGTGGGACCTCAACGTCTCACAACCTATGGACCTTCACGGCCTGGTACAGGGATCTTTACTTTTACTTTANAGTAAATCGCGGCTGGCACAAAAGGCTGACAACCTTACCGCCATCTATAAGCTGATTGTCTAGATAATGTGGGACCTCAACGTCTCACAACCCTATGGACCTTCACGGCCTGGTACAGGGATAGCTTTACTTTTGCTTTTCTAACATTGTCTGAAGAAAATTAGATGTAATAATATTTACTAGATGACTTTACAGTTTATTTCTTCATTTACCTATTTACATTGCAGGCATCATTCAGTGACAGCAAGTTTGTTTTAACACTTTATTGCTGGTATTGTTACTTTGTTATGTAAGTTACATAAGATAGAAAGGACACGCCGTAGCTCAAGTGGTTAGTCGTTGGCTTTCCACCATGGCGACTTGGGTTCGATCATGGGTCTGGTCAAGTGGGATTTGTGGTGGACAAAGTGGTGCTGGGGCAGGTTTTTCTCTGAGTACTTCGGTTTCCTCTGCCAATCTTCATTCCGCCAATTGCTCCACAATCACTCTCGCTGGTACAGTAGGTCAGAAGTGGCCGCAGTATAAGGGACTTAGTCCCACCCCACTAGCAATAAAAAATACTTAAGATAGATGGTAACAGGTTTTCTGAGGAACAGTATGTAATGTGACTCACATTGTACAGTGCTAATAATAGTAGAAATGAGCACTAGTAGCAGACTTGTATTTTGAAGTACCTGGTTCAGATCTTAGCCATCTGACTTGTGTTTCTTCAGTATGGTTGTAACATATTGTGGGATGTCCACTGAAAGCCAGGATTGTGAAGGTAGCAGAAACAGCTGTTGCTAGGGAACAGCACAGTAACAACATGTGACCTGATGTTCTGTGGATCTGTGGCAATAGTGATGTCATGCAGCAATAGAGGAATTGTGGGAAGCTGTGATTTCTTTTTGGTCCCTCCTGGCGTTGTATCACACGGACCAGTGGGACAAGCCGGTCAGTCTAGAAAAATTGAGAGGAACATCTACTGTTGACAGACAAAACTGTGGCTGGGAATGCTAGTTTATGTGTTGCTCATGGCCAGGTCATGCAATCTCGATCTGTAGAAATGTTGATGATATCGACATTTAAAGTAAAAAATTCCTGTTGCATGATAGCAATATTTTCTTGTTGGTCTTAATCCAGTGTCCGTCTTGGCCTCTACTGTATTGTCTTCAGTTTATACTTGTTTGTCTCAATACCTCTGATACCAGTCCCATAATTTACACATGAAGGCAGTGGCTAATGCCTGTTTGCCCAGAGATTGCAAATTTTATGTCAGTGCCTCATACTTAAAGATACTGTATTTCATGTTGAAGGAATAATGTTGTTTTCTTGCCTTTGTTTTTTCTTTTTGTAGCTTCCAAACATGGCAACAAAGAAAAGCAGACACCAAAGAAAGAACGATCTGGAGGTAAAATATAACTAGCTCTTTACTAACTATTTCAGTATCCTTTTATCTTTCTGTGCTATCTTAATCTGAGGCTGAAAAGCACATCTGTTACCTTAATCAGGTTAGTCTTCTCTCATATCATAGAATCAGGTATTTAATGTCTTTTTTTGTACTGTGAAGAAGAGGACAGTTTATTATTTAGGCTGTTGATTTATGTGGCAAATGTTTCTTGTATGGTTTTGGCTTTATTGTAAAATGCCATTTTTTTTTTCGAGGTTGGTAATTGTGTCTCTTTCTTTTATTAATTACGTAGAATGATAAGTCAGAAAGATACGTAAAGTGAAAGTATTCTTGAGAATACACTGTCGAAAATGAAAACTTTATTTTTGTGTACATGTGTATCATCACTAAATAGCTGTAAATTTTCTGTTATATTTATTCTAGTTGCATATTTATATGCAGAACTGAACTTAACATGGCTACTAAATGGAGGGAGTTCCATCTTAAACCAAAAGATAGTGTTCTGTTGTATTACTCTTGTATTTTATGTTCATTGAAATTTAAGGAAAAGAAAAAGAATTTTAATTCCTCACTTATGCAGTGTGATTGATTGATTGATTGATTTATGCTGATATTTTGCCTGACACTTATCACTTCTGCTGAAACTAGGAAATTTATTTAACTGGTGGCAAACATAAATTTTAATAATGCAGTACTGAGTTACCAGAGCCAGAAGGCCCAAAATTGAGAAAAGACAAGTATCTTTGTAGATTTCAAGTGACCTTCAGAGTTCTGCAGCTGAAGTTATGTGTAGACAGTTATATGCGGTATCTGATGAGAGTTCTTGAAATGTTCTTGCACATAATATTGTACTCACCATCTTGTTTGAAACTCATCTTAAATCTGGGTGCTGCTTGACCAAGTTTTGACTTACAGTGTTTGTTCCCTAATATCTTTAGAATGATTTTTTTTTTTGGTTATCATGACTTTTCTTCCCTTTATAATCCATGGCAGAAATTGTAACTAGGCCTAGAGTTTGTTCAGCAGCAAATCGAATGTTGATGTTTTGCAGAATGTCCCTACATGTTTATTTAGCTGTGTATTTCTGAGCGTGTTCCCACGTACACTTCTTGTGACTTTTGTTGTTTTATGATCAAGTAAGATCTTCCCATGTGCCTGGCGAGAGGGATGTTCTTAATTCTCTTCTAGAATGAGGTGGATTATTCACTGAATCCCAAAAATGGATTCTTGATTGAACCATAAAAATAAACCAAAAATACTCATATTGTCAGAGAGCTTGAAAAAATTTTGCAACCCTTGGACTGGTAAGTGGGCATACTGAAAAATGACAAATCTGGATCAGATGATAGCAGAGTAAAAACATTTTGGATTTCCAGCAGGAAATGCAGTATTGTGCATTTTGTCATATGTGGAAATCTCAGAACCTTTTTACACATTCCTGCGTGAAGCCCCTACTGGGAATAGACAGCTGAACAAAGAGAGTGTTTATAGAGTTAATGTGGTACCTTGTTCCTGTTTCTGATAGCCCTTTGAGATTCAAGTAACCAGGAGCAAAAGTACTGATATGAAATGATGGAGTATTAATTTATTTCTGTTTCTCCACCCTGAAGTGTATTCTTTTGGCAGAAATGATTACTTACTTATTTGTTCAGAATGAGATTGAAATGTCAAATTAATTTGTCCTTTTCTGTGTTATGTCTGAAAGAAAAAAATAGCTGTTGATGTAATTGGGTCTTTTATTCTTCAGTGGATAACAAATTGAAACTAGGTATTTAACTTAGTATACTGGTGACCTGATATAGTTTGTCACAGATGCCAATGTGCAGAATGATTATGTTTCATGACAGGAACAGGCTTGTAACTGTATACGTTATAAAAATCTGAATGTGTCTGCTACACAAACAGGTGTGTGTATGTGTCTGCATTTGAAGTACAGGCATACAGAATTCTGTTCATCTCATTTATGTGTCCTGCAGGATGCTAAAACATTCCTTATTAAAACTATATTGTGTCATTGATATGTATGAAGTGAGTATTATACATTTATGACCCAAAAGTGTTTGAAAACTCTATTTTTAAGACTAAAATATAAAAAGAATGACTTTCAGATGAAAGGTGAATCAGAAGCGAAGTTCGTGATTTCTGTTCATATTTACAATTATGTGATTGACCATGTAAATTAATATACAGTATCTTATTGTTGAAGATGTAAGACGGGATGGCTCAGTCAGTAACATGTCTGGCCATGGGCTTGAAGGTTGGGGTTCAATTCCTAGCAGAAAATTTTCTGTTTGATGTCATGTTTTTAAATCTGCTTTGGGCCATGTTATCAGAAGACTGCTAGGGCCTCTTTCCCTGCAGATAAAGTGGTTAGAATGAGAACCTGACAGCCACCTCCATCTAGTGTCTGAAGTTTAGAAATAACAAGGATTTACCTGCATATGTACCATATTATTTTATGGTATGATGCTTAAGCACATTGGGAACGTTTTATATAGTTATGGGAAATGTAATTTAAGTGGGTACTGGCCCAAGTATGGCATGTAATTACATGCATCCTTCTAAATGATAGAGCCATGTAACTTGCACTAAACACTCTCTCAGCCAAAATCATTTATGTTCTTGATGTAACATATGAGAGACCTGTGAACTGAAGGCGAGTAAGAGAGTGTTGAAAACTGAATATTTTTCATGTTACGCCACCTCGTTAGCTTACAGAGTGGCTCATTAGAAGGGCTGTGACATTCTTATAACTGCTGCTGCAAGCAGCCATATCAACTGTTAAGCAGGAAGGAAATGTACTCTGGTGTGGGTACAAAAAGTGGCATGAAAGTATACTTGTTTCTTTTGAAGCACTGCAAACAATATTTTAGACTTTTTCAATGAACTGTTGACTAAAGAGGTAATTGACTGAATGCTGTATGGACTACATTTGATGCACAGATAATTAGTAAAAGGCAGTGGGGATATATGGGCATATGTAATTTTAATTTCCTGTGAAACTTGAAGTAGCAGTTTATAGAAATAAATTCTATTATTTGTAGGCCTTGGAAGCGAAATCTACGACATCATGGGAATTGCAGAAAGTTTCTGTTACTCATGCAATACTTTATGTCATTGTGGAAATATGCGAATGTTGGACACAACATAAGAGTTGCTGCAAGATCATGATGGGTACAATAACGGATTTTAAAATGCAGACGGATCCTCTCACATTATTGCGCTAGAGTACTTTTTTTTCCCATTCTTGACTACCCACACAGCATCTGGCATATCACAAGACTGCTGTAGCTTTTGTACAGATGTTCTGTATATTAATTACACGCAACAGAAGACCATCTTCTAAGCATCAGCCATCTTAGAATATGCCTTGTCTAGAGAAAGCTCTGTTGACAGCTCAGCTGGTTCACCTGCAGGTGGGAGGTTTAGCTTTATTTGGAGTTTTGTTTATTATAGACTGCCAGAACATGAGAGTCTTAGGAAAACTGTTGCATGCAACAATGTCACATTTATAGAATGAGCACATTTCAGGTATTGATTATTAGATTTTTTATTTTCTGTGAATCTGATTTACTTAATTTTGTTCCTGCAAGGTTTTTATAGCCTGTAGTTATATACACATGTATGCGTAGAAGATGATGGGGTGGGAGAAAGTATGGAGTACTCTGAAATGTATTTGTAATGAATTTTGTCGGATCTAATCATATTAGTTATAAATATATTACTGGAGACAATTTTTAATAGATGTGTAGACATTTTCAGGAGTTTGTGTAGCATAGTATACATATTATATAATCAAACATGAAATATATTTTGAATGTTTGGTTCATATCTTTGCTCATGGATAGAGAAGATATATATATAGGAACACATTACTTCCAAACCAGGCCTATCAGTTGCTGTGAAAGGAGAAAGATATGTGTCCAGGTTTTAATTACTGTTAATATTCATTATGTGATTATATGTATTTGTAGCTTTGTATTTTGTCTGTTTTGATGATTTATGAAGGATTGTGATGAACCTCATTTCCAAGCATCAGGTGACTGCAGACTTACAAATTGTAAGTTTTGACTCAGTCAAGTAATAGACATTTTGAGCCTAATTGCTGTAACACCAACCTTATAAAACTATTTCAGGTAAACACCAAGAAATGATTCTGCCCTTTGCTTTGAACTTTATTTTCAGAAATGTGTATATTTATTTATGAAGTAAGTTTCAGTAGCAGACCCATTATTGAATTCTGTTACAGTATTATTAGTGTCTTACTGCTTTTGTAGTTGAAATGGATGGTGCTGTATGACACGAAACTAACTTCAGACTAGAGGATCTTCTTTCAGCAGTTAATAATTATTCAGATCATCAGGAAGCTCTCACCACACAGACTAGCCATTGAAGTTTTATCCTGATCAGTTTCAGTCTGGTTTATCTATTCACAATCTGTTCCTCCAAAATTTATTTCAGTGCTATCGTCTGTCAGTGTTTGGATCTTCCAAGTGGATGTTTTTTCTGAGGTTTTCCAGTCAATTAATGTATTTGTGAATAATGTCTTATATCCCATGTGAATGCTGGATGTCCCGCCTACCTTATACTTACCGATATCTTCACACCAACAATATTTTGCAGAAAATACAAATTGTGAGCTGGCTATGGTGACATAATTTTAAGGCATTATTGATTCTCTATTATAAATATAAATATAAATAAAAAAATATATGAGCATAAGGCTGATATCAGTACCCACTTCAGATTTGACTTAGGCTCGAATTCTGGCAAAATGACAGTGTAAAGTAAGTTTCTAGGCATCTGTATAGAAGATCTCGGGTTCAGGACTTAACTGCAGTCTGTGCAGATTTTTCTGCAAAACCTCTGCGGTTCTCACTTCTCAGTACTATGTCTATATTTGATTTTCATAGCTACTGAGTGTGATTCTGATTCATATTGGGCGTCAATCCTCTCTTTTGGCTGTTGTTGTTGTGAACCAATCAGTGGAAGGAAATAAT